CGCAGAGGGGATGAGACCGCCCCACAGAGGGGATGAGGCCGGGGGCCCAGGCTGCTCCACAGAAGGACTCAGGTGTGAGCATGAAGCTGCAGCCCAGAGCACATGTGCTGAGGGGATGAAGCAGCCCCACAGAGGAGATGAGGCGGGAGGCCTAGGCCACCCTGCAGAGGGAACATGGTGAGGGGGTGAGGCTGCCCCACAGCAAGGATGAGGCAGAGGGCCCGGTTAGCTCTGCAGAGGAGCTGAGTGTGGGGCCATTGCTGAGGCGGGTGCAGGCCGGGCCAGGGCTGCTCGATGGGAGTGAGGACATGGACCATGGGGGGCTCAAGACTCTCAGGGGTGCTGTTGGGGGTGTGAGGCAGGTGCGGTCCCCACAGCAACAGGGAGCCCTGGGGACATGTGGGACAGGGCCACTCCTGCAGTGGGGCCCAGCACTGCCCTGTCTGGGTCTGCTTTGGAGTCCTTGCCCTGTATCATGAGACAGGGGTTGTAGAAGTGATTTGGGTCCCACCCTTGTAGACACATCATTACAGGGAAGAAGCTAATTGTGTTTTCTGGTGCTGGCGGAGGGGAAGCTTTTTAGGATGAATCAGTGGGAAAAGAATTCCAGAGTGTTTCCACATCCTCAGTGCTTTAGGACATGATCCTCTCACCTGACCTGTATCATTATTACATCTGTTTTTTTTTTTTCCTCTCCTCTGAGCAAAGGCTCTGTGAAGTCCACCACATCTTTATCTCATTAATCTTTTTCCTTCTCCTTGTCCCCCCCCCTCCACATTACCAGGGACAAATTGCAGAATAATATCTGTTTAAATAGCCAAAGCTTGCTCCTTGCATCTCCAATATCTTTAAAGCCTTTTACATTATTTAAGTTTCAATCAGAGACCCAAACTTAGCCCTCACCAAATAATAATGACAGCATTAACCAACGTGTCGGGATGTAGGTACATCCCAAGCTAACATAATGGTAGGATTGCAGGAAGGACAACCACAGAGAAGGTGGGAGCAGATCCTGCTGGGTGCCTTGCTGCACCTTGGAGCTTTGATGCCTGCCTGCAGGCAGGACCGACACACGCATCCCCAGAGGTGACTCAGGAGTGACTCAGAGCTAAGGTGTAGTTAATAAGGTGTACTGTTTAAATAGTCTGTTTTAATTAACATTAACCTCACTGATTAGTGACCTGTCTTGGTCTAATCTTTCTTACTGTAATTCTAAGTAAATATGTGGACATTTAGTTATTTTTGAGACCCTTCTAGCATGTTTTATTGTGATTTTTTTCTTAATATCTAATAATACATTGTATCAAAAAGCTGTATAGATTGAACACTAAGGAATAAATCATAACTCCCCAACAGTGTTCAGCCTAGCAAGAACTGTACAGCCAAGCCAAAGGGTGGGATGGTGCCACAGATCTCTAGCAAGTGAGAGAACAGAGAACTTGGGAAAGCTTAGGACTTGGGAAAGCTAATTTAGGGAATCCGTGAAGGAGTAAGAAATATATCTCATTCTGTGACCAGACTGGTGGGAAAGAAAACACCTGCAAGGAAACTAGAGAGGGAACTTCTGAAACAGTGAGGATAAGGAATCTGTGTAATCCGCGTAAGTGGGAAACAAGGACTGGGAAGAGTACATAAGGCTACAGTAGAAATTTGGGAAAAATACCTGAAGGAGAGAAAGTACTAAGAAAATCCATAGGATGGAGAAGGGAAGCCTAATTATGACATAGACCTTCTTTCTTCAGGATACTGAGAGTGGTCAATTCTTTCCTGAACAGGAAAGAGGATAAAAGTGTTAGGAAAGAGGCTACGTGTTAGGAAACATGAAAATAAACCAGTTTGGATGAGATTGTTGTGCTACAGTGAAATGAAGAGCATCAAGAAAATAACCAAGTCACAGCTCTGTTCTGAATTCTTAGGGAGGCATAGTAATACTTTTTTTTTTTTTTAAAGTACTTTAAGTTTTAAGTAATATATGTCATTATCAGTTAAAAATTAGAATAAAAGATTTGTTCAATATGCTCTAGAGAGAGAGAGATTCAGTGATTTGGACAATTCACTTAAGATACATATTTTGTAAGATTGGCGTAAACACATAAACACTTTTCTATCTCCAAAAGGCATATTGGTGTCTACTGAAACAGAAGTACAATTTATTTCAAATTAACTTTTTTTTTTTTTTAATCATGAAAAGCTCTCGTAATCCATAATCCCATTTTTTCCCAGTAAAGGATCTGTCTCCTTAGTTCTTTCATCAGTGGCTAAACTTTATTTTACATTGAATAGCATGGAATGTGTGCAGCTTTCACCTCAGTGAAAGGGCAGTTGCTGTGTGAGGGACTGTGTGGTGGAGCCAGAAGTTAAAGCATAAACTTTATGCTGCTAGGGAAGTTACGTGCAGTAACAGATTATGCTCTATACTGAAGATTTTCAGGATAAAACCTAGCTTCAGACAGATGTGTGTTCATAACAGGGCAGAAAATGTAGTGGTGTTTTTCATCCGTGTGTGGGAATAGAACACTGTGGTTTTCTCCTTTGCCTACAAGGATACACCATCTTCTGACTTCTTGTTTTTTATTTTTTCTTTGTTTTGTTTTGTTTTTAATCTTGATTTATCCTTGTTGATGCCTAACCCACTTTTGTTGTCTTCCAGCAGCTTTGGTCACTGCCATGGAATTCCTGGTATGAGAAGGCAGGACTTTAGGGTAGAGAGAGGATCCTGGCTGTGCTGCTTTAATCATGAAGATAGCGATCATAATTGACCTAATCATCTTCACTTTGCTGTCTTCAGGTAAGGCTGATGCAGAGAGGGAAAGGGAAGGTTGACCCCCGGATGGGTTACTGAGATAAGAACTCTAATATGTGCTTTGGTTTTGTTTTTTTTTTTTCTACCAAGTATTCGCTGTGCCTGTGATTCCCATTTGCCTGTGTTTTTTTCTGTTTGATCATTGGCAGATGGTGACCTTGTTAGTCTTGAAGCAGATTAATGCAAAAGTTCCTTTGCGATTCAGTGATTGCTTGTTTTCTCTGAGCAGCTTCTCCTTAGTGTTGACAAAATGATTGAGTTTTATGTTTTAGCATTAAAAGATAATTGAAGAGACAAATACTTAAACATCTGGAAAATACTATGTTAAAGATGTTGCAGCCTTTTTGTATGCATTGCAGGGATGTCTATTTACTACCCTGTTCAACTTTAAACAGGGTTTTCTGTTGTCAATAGCCAGATTGTCCACAGTGTCTATCTTTCATGGTGGGTGTTGTCTTGGAAAATAAACTGCTCTACGTTGTCAGAAGACCAGGAAGTTACTTTCTGTTGCTGAGGAAACGCTTCATTTTTAAACCATGTACTAAAGCCAAATTACTGAATTGCATTTATCATTTCAAATGGTCCCAGATGCTGACTTCCTCAAGTGAGGGATGCGGTTCATTCTGTTATATTAGTAGTATATAACTGTGAATTTCTTCTGACTTCAAATCTTCAAACTCCTATGAGTCAAACTTCTAATTCTGACCTTGAAACGTCAGCATGTGTCCTGTTGCTTAAAATCAGTCTTGATCTGGAATGAAAGTGGACAGGAAATAGTGTTCTAATAAAGCATGGAGCTCATTGGCTGGAGCTCAACTAGCTATTGTCTGTTTAAAAAATAACAATCCCTTGTCCAAAAACTAAAAAAACTAAATTCAGCCTAGATATAGAATTTGGATTCCCTACCAACATCCTCCCTTGACAATTCTCCTTCAATTGCAGACTTAGTTCTTAGTCTCTAGAACTTTGTAGCAGAAATACTAAGATTGGTATGGATAAAGTATGAATTTGGAGTATGTATGTGTGAAAGCACCAGAGGAAACAACAGGGCAAAGGTTAAGGGAATGGCCTGTTTTGATAACCTGACAGCAATAAAACCAGTAAATCCAGAGGAATGTGATGTTTACATCCCAAGCAGAAGGCCTGTGCTCTGATAAAGCCACATCACTGATGGCTTGTCAGCAGAAAGCCTGCAGTCTGATAACAGGGAAGGTGGTAAAAAGGTTACTCCACACGATAGGTGCCATTTCTCTTTCTTTAATTCCAACAGGGAGACACATGGTAGCTATAAAGATGCTCTTGTCTTTGTTTTCTCATTTTGAGTAGCAGCCTTGTCTTAAATTTATGGAAAATTAAGTAAGCACCGTTCTGAGGCAGAAATTCTTACAAATCTTCACCTTATTTTTGATCCTGCAGGGAAGAAATTCCGATGGTGCACTCTATCTGACCTAGAACAGAGGAAGTGTGCTGAACTGTCCAAAGCTCTTACAGCTGTGCTGCCCCTTGCTACCACCGATTCCTTTACCAGGATTTCTTGTATCAGAGCTCACAATACATACGACTGCATTGATAAAATCAGGGTGAGTCTGCAGAGATTTCCAAAACTTCTTTTGAGACAAACCCCTCTTCCATAGGAGAAGACTCTGGCAAACAGCATTCCTAGGAGAATTAAATGCTACTGAAACGATACTATCTAACCTGTGACAAAGTACACAGTAGCTTGAGAGACAAAAATTCAAATAAGCCATGAGCATTCCTATTACAGATGTACTATTTTACTCCAGCTGAGGTCCTTGAATTCTCCAGGAAAAAAGTAGAACACTGCTTGGAAGTAAATGAACAAGACTAATAAATGAAAACCTTCTCAGAGATTGCTGCTTGCTTGTGGGCTTCAGTCCTACTCCAACTGTAACTAGTGCTTTCTCTTCCTTACCCCTGATGTGGGGTAAAATTACACACTGGGGTTTATGCGTGTAAGCTCTACGTCTGAAAAAGCATCTTCATAATGCTACATGCTTTGAAAACAAAACATTGGTGAAAAAGACAAGTATTTGGTGTGGAATAGTTCCACTAACATACTTTATTGGGGTAGAGAATTTCAGTTTCCATGCACGCTCAATCCCAGTTGCCATTGATGGAATCCAAATCTGACCTGGCAAACAAAACAAATAAATTCTTTCTTGTTGATTGAGGGGAATAATTTCATTCATGTTTTCATTTAGTTCCATGATCCCTGTTATTAGGCTTCAGTTCCAATTATTTATTATTTGGAAAGATAAGAGCCAGAATTTGTTTGAGATGGGTTTAGTACTTTTGGGGGAAATTTTTTTTTCTTTCTTTTTTTTTTTTCCCAGTGGTGTCAGAATTGTATTTTGGGAGTGAAAAGATCAAACAAAGATGGAAGATATTACTGAGAAAGACCAGGTACTATGTGGAGGTAACTTATGCCTCATTGCTGTCATGTCACCATGCTGCATAGCAGGGGTTCAATTAAAAACAAAGCAGATGCTTGTAAAAGTCACTGATTAGCACTTTTTAGGCATAAACTCTGGTCTTGAAGCTACTCTGAGTGATTATTTCCTAGTAGCCACACTGATTCTGGGGGTTTTGCTATCACTTTTAAGGTGAATAAAGCAGATGCTGTCTCCTTGGATGCTGGAGATGTTTACTCTGCTGTAAAACTGTACGGCTTGACAGTGGTGGCAAAGGAGATCTATGAGAAAGGTAGGTTCATAAAGCAGAAGACTAAGGTAAACTTCTGATTTGGCTAATGAATTGATGTGAAGTGGGTTTTTTTGTTTGTTTGTTTTTGTTTTGCTTTTTTGTTGTTTTTTTTTTTCCATCTCTGTCAGTTCTCCCAGTATGCTCTTTCTTAGAGTAACTGAATACTGGTAGTGATACTTTAAGAGATTAGCTTCTGTCATGAGTTAGTTCTCTTCTCTTCACCCTAAGGAGACAAGAATATATAAAGGAGTATCTTGTTATAGTGAGTTTCCACTTCATTCCTTGTAGAGCTGAGCAGTCTGTGCAATGACTGACTTATAAGACAAGAATAAGTAAGTTAAGTCTGAGCCCAAATCAGTCACACAGGAGAAATTACTTGAGAGGCTTGACTCTGGGACAGAAGCTGAATTAGCAGATGAACATAGGAAGAGACCAATAGGATGACAGTAAGAGAACAGAAATGAATTTTGTTTTGGCTGAAGAACTGTGAAATCATAGTGGAATTGGTATGTTTTGGGCTGGTAAGTATACTGTGAGGATATGACACGGAAACTCTTTCCATTATGATATCTAAAACATGGTAATACAAGTGTTCAAAATTTCTGAGAAGGAATTTGGAACTGGTGTTGAATGGATGGAGCTTGATGATTTTGTTTTTTTTGCACATTGCTTGCATTTCTCAATTTGACAAGATGCTATGTAGAATATTATGTATTTCCATGTTATGAATTCTTATATTTCACATGCTCAATCATTCTTTTTCCTTAGCCATGTTCATAGAAGTGATTGAGCTCCTGTGCACAGGTGAAAGCTGCAGAATTTGCATTTAGTTATTTCTGTTGTATATTTGTCCTGTCACAGGAAATTGTGTGTTTGCTGTGGCCGTTGCCAGACGAGGAACTTTGAATATCCAGCGGCTAAGAGGTATGCGCAGCTGCCACAATGGAGCCAGGTGGACATCAGGCTGGAATGTTCCACTTGGCTTTCTCCTGGCTAAAAATGACATCTCCTGGGATGAGACACAACCTCTGAGCCAAGGTGGGTGAACAGAACCATGGTACTGTATCTGCCCTCAGCGGAATTGAGTGAAGTGGAAGCAGATGCAGCATGAACTACAGGGAAACTGAAAGACTTTGCACAGGAGATATCCTTTTGCATGTCTTTGGTGCTGGTTCTTACCTTTCTCAGGATTTTTCCAGTGAACTCTAAAGCAGCATTGTTATCAAAAGCAAAAGGAAATCTCAGTGTTCTGTGTACAGTAAGGAATAAAATTTTGTAACATCTAGTCAAACAAATAATTATTTTAACCTAATCAGAATTTGACACCTATATTTCCAGAGAATGGTTCAAATTTGACATTTAGACAATGAAGCCACATGTCTAACTTTTTTTTTTAAAAAACCCCTGCATAACTATTAATTATACACACGATAGATTTAGTGCCTTTTCTTTGTTCTATTTTTTTCCATTTAACCAGTTTTCCTTATGTCTGTAGCAATCAGCGAGTATTTCAATGCAAGTTGCATCCCTGGAGTTGGAATTGCTGCTCCTCGACTCTGTGATCTTTGCCAAGGACAGAAATCCTATGTCAGAGAGAAGAATCACTTCTGTGAGACTAGTAGCAGTGAACCCTTTTATGGCTCTGAAGGAGCATTCAGGTGAGCTCTGTGCCATTTGCACTGAGTGCGAACAAGAACTTGTGAGGGGGAAAAGCCAGAAACGTGCTAACAAAATGGCATTTGTCTTGCTGCAGGTGCTTGAAGAATGGAGTGGCAGACGTTGCCTTTCTAGATCATCTAACACTGTTGACTGCTACAGGTAATTGTAAAATCTGAGTTTCATTTTAGCTTTTTGGCAGTGCTCTTTCTTACATTGGAGTTTGGGGGATATCCATGGAAAACTTAGTCCCTGCAAGCAATTCAGGGGTATTTCTCAGCTCTTCACACAAATCAGAAGGAAACAGAAAAAGAAAAGAGTAGTTAAAAATGATTGCTTGTAGGAGATTCATATAGTGAGAGTCGCCAGACGTTTTCATGCAAGTTATTCCTGTAGCCTAAAGTCTCCGAACCAGCTGTCAATGTTTATATTGCCTTACCGTTAGGATTCCTTTTAAAATTCAGTGTATGTGCTGCTAGAATGGACACTCCTCATGTTCCTCTTTTTGACCAAGCTCAGCTCTGTATCAGTATTTTTGAAGGTGGTCAGTGGTAGTTGCAAGCGAGTATTTCTAAACAAACATATTTACATGAGTATAGCCTAAAGAGTATTTAGGAGTATCTGCAGCTGAGATCCCTGTTTGGTGAGGAAAGAGCGTTTCAAAAAGAATTCTTTCCAATGTGCTTGGCACATATGCTGCTTGCTTCCACCTTGGGGGAGCTCCTCTGAAAAACATTTTACCTTCCATTCCTGTAGACTGCTGCCAAGTCATGTCTGTCTTCATAGATTTCATGAGTGTCCTGTTGCTTTAGAGACAGAACAAGATGAGTATGAACTCCTATGTCCTGATGGGACCACAGCTGAGCTGAGTGAATACAGCACCTGTAACCTGGGACAGGGGCCTGGCCATGCCATCATCACTCGCCACAACTTCCAGAAGATCACCAACAAATTTCTTACTATGATTCAGGTGAGTGGATATTGTAAACTCTGTATCTCTAGACATGATCCTGTTTCCTGAATTTGGATGGAATTCACCAAACAGTTTGCCTTTTCTCTTAAGAAATCTGCAGTTACTGTCCACAAAGTACCAAAAATTGTCTGTTTGGGGGAAGAATCGTGCACTGGAACTGCAGATCTGTTGTAATTTAAAGCATTATTCTTCTCCTAGAACCTCTTTGGGCGAAAAGGAAAGGAAAGGGCCAGATTTGAACTCTTCACTTCTGCACCCTATGGGGGAAAGAACCTTCTGTTTCAGGATGCCACTCAGCACCTGCAGCTTCTCGAGGAACAGCTAGAGATTGCCTATGTCCTTGGCCTGGATTATGTAGGTCTCCTTAAAGGACTAGGCCATGAAGGTGAGAAGCCTTTTTCAGGATCATAGCTAGGAAGGGAAAAAGAGTTCTTTCTCCATGTTACCCCTCCCTGCTAGGCTCAAGTGAATAAATCTGCACATACCCTTAGTGACAATCAGATTGGTGCATGGATGGACATGATCTCATTATGCTCCTTCCCTCTGTGCAGGGAGCTCTTTGGACAACAGTGTTGTGCGCTGGTGCTGCATCAGCGCTGCTGAGCTTCGCAAATGTGAACACTGGGCACTGAGCATCAGATCTTACCCGCTGGTCTGTGTCCAGGCAACCTCCATGACACATTGCATTGAAATGATCAAGGTAAGAGGCTCCTTGTGGTCAGGTTTCCTGGTAAGGTTGGGCTTGCATCTGTCCTCATCTGATCCAAACAAGAGGAAAAACGGTTTGTACACTAGACGCTCTAACGGGGATCTAGACGCTCTAATGGGGATGAGAGGGAATTTGTGCAGGGAATTTCCAGTTTGTAGGAAATAACAGCTGCTTGGTTACGCCAGCTAATGTACATCCTGTTTGTTATTTTTTGTAATGCTGTTGGCAGAGCAGTGAGGCTGATGCAGTCACCCTGGATGCAACACATGTCTACATTGCAGGGAAGTGTGGATTGGTGCCTGTAGCTGCAGAATGTTATGGTAAGTTCTCATGTGACATTGGGAAGAAGGGAAAAAATCAAGAAAGAACCATAAAAAATATGATTGTTTTGCCATAGTGTGCAATGTTTAGGACTGAAGCAGGAAAGTGGGATTTGTCATCCAAGTACTCTTTCCTTCCACTGCCTGGTTCTAGAATTTGTCCTGGTTGCTCTTTTGATAAAGAGGGCTAAAGATGCTGATGTGCTGCAAGGGAAAGACAGTAAAATCATAAAGGTGTCTGATGGGGTGCTATCTAAAAGGAATGAAGCAGTTACTACAAAATCCTCAAGGTTGTCTTGCCTCTTCAGGGGAGGGATGTGCTCCAGACATTGAGACCACAGAGGAAAAGTGGAAACTAATTCGTCTTGGACGCAAAGGTAAAAGGAGATCTTTGAGAAGAAAAAGGTTTCAGCTTCTCCTGAGGCTACCTCTAGGTTATATACTTGCGTGTGTTTGCATGCTGGTTTGGGAAATTGCTGTACTGTTCAATTGCAAGTTTACATAAAATGCAGGGCTGCTAGAACAAGAGCTTCTTGGCTGAACAAAGAGCGCAGATCCTCTACCATAAGTGAAGATATCAGATGGAGGATGAGGGAGGGAAAAGGGCGGCTGGACTTGCCCGGAATTCTTCATTTCCTTGCTAGAACTGCTTATTGACATCTTTTTCACAGCGCTATCTCCTGTCTATGCTGTGGCCCTAGCGAAGAAGAATGCCAAACAGATTAATATCCACAACCTTAGGGGAAGGCGCTCCTGCCACGGCCATCTGTACAGTCCTGCGGGCTGGTTGCTTCTTTCCAGATACACAGTGGGAGCTCTGGAGAATGACACCGACAACTGTAACATTGACTCCAGTAAGGACTGCTTTGGGCTATCTGTCAGCAAGACCATTGAAATCTGAAGCCTGAGATGTGGGAGTAAAATGGAGATGGGGCCATGAGGGCAGAGAGTAACTTCAGTCTTGCATGTCACTGAAGATATTTCTTTGCCCTGCTGTGTTTTTGAGTTGAACTCTCTCCTTAGTAGCAGATTTCTCTTAGACCGCATGTGTTGTTCCTTAACTTGGAGATACACCATAAATAATAGAGGTGTCAATGTCTACATGAGTAACATAAAGATAATAACAGAAACAAGTAGCTTGCTCCTTCTCCTTCTCTGTGCTTTGATTGAATCAACAACTAGCTCTAATGGGTCCGTATTATGATTATACATGATGGTCTGGCTTTATATCATAATATAAACTACATGAGGATGGTATCCCATCCCTGTCCCTCAAGTCATAGATAAAAACTGCTATCTTCCATGTTGCTATTTAACACTTCCACAAATTAAGCTATGAATAAGGATGTTGCTGTATGATCTTGTTAAAATCCCTCTCCCTGCAGCCTGTCTGAATTTTCTGAGGTGCCTTAGTTCTATTATTTTGACGTTTTCCCTCACTTGGGGAAATTACTGATTTGGCCAGGAAGTGATAACTGCAGATTCTGAGAGTACATGCTCAGCTGCTGAGGCAGCTCCTCCTCTTATCTGAGTACCTGGGATTTTTCATACTGTTTAGGCCTCCTCTCACTGACTCTTAAAAAGGAACCCCTTCAGCCTTTTCACATGAAGAGGCTTTGAACTGCCTTGCCCTAACCTCACCTCAGCTTTCTCTGCTCAGCTTTCCAGAGCTACTTTTGGAAGGGCTGCATGCCAGGAGCAGATGGGAGCCTGTGCAAGGTGTGCATTGGAGACAGCGAGCTGGAAGGGGGCAGAGTCTCTAGCAGATGTGCTGCCAACCACAATGAGCTCTACTATGGCAATGTGGGAGCTCTCAGGTAAACTTTTGGTCTGGGTCAGAAATGAGTTATAGCCAGTATTGGTTTATTATTTTGCTAATCATTTTATCTGGAGGATTTTTAAGCTGGTGGCTGTGTTAGTTTTTGCTAATATGTGTTTTATTTTAGTTGCAGTTGCTATGGGATGTGCTGTTGATCGGTAATTTAAAGCAGTTATAAAATTATTTTCGGAGAAAGACAGTGCTTCTAAATATATTAGGCTTTAAGTGGTGGTGCTGGCCCATTTAAGAGAATGGATGAAAAACACCAGTTCAGAGAGAAGAGGTAATGTGTTAAGAAGCAGTGAGGGTAGAGGTGGTGATTAGAAATTATTTGAAATTAAAAAAAAAGAGTACGAAATAGTCAGAGACAGAGAATTTTAAAGGTGAAAGCACTAAAGAGTACGAAATAGTCAGAGACAGAGGCAGAGAATTTTAAAGGTGAAAGCACTCAGAATACCTGTAATGCATTTAGTTGAGTGAGTTGTTCATAGGCACAGACATGGTGCAAGAACTTTGATTTGAGAGCTGCTTTAAAGGATGAAAGGGCCAGTCTTGTCTCTCTATGCAGTGAATTAACTTATATTGCATATAATTATTTGTAAAATATTCTTGTAAAAGAAGGCATATAATTATTTATGAACAACAGTGTAAACACTGCCCATGCAGATCTGTACCAGTGTCACTAATTTTTTTCATACAACAACTAAGTAACTTCACATGAAGGGAATCGTACCAACTACTCACGTTTTAGCTTTAGATATCCCGTCATGTTGTAATGGCTGTCACTACATTCATTTTTAATTTTTTTTTTACATGCTGTAGGTGCCTAGTTGGCAATCCCAGTGGAAGGAGCTTTGGAGATGTAGCTTTCCTGGAACACTCTAACCTGCTCCGGAACATAAGGAGTGAGATGCAGTTTTTTTCTCTTCCTTTGAGAATATTCATAAGTGTCAGTTTCTTCCTGCACAGTGACTGTGATTTCTAGGCATCAGTGTCCACAAGTTTAATCTGGATTCAAAAAGCTGTGTTTGTGACTGGAAAATTGTAAGAACCTTCCTGCGTGTATGTATTCTAGTAAAGTTAAGATTCTGATACTGTCCAGTTTTAGAAAATTAAAGAATCACTGAGTGCAAAAATCAAGGGTGTGGAAAGCATCCTAGGAAACTGTGCTGTTTTTTGGAAAGCTCAATGCTTTGAAAAGCAAGAGACTCCTCAATTCTTTTTTTTTTTTTTTTTCATAAGTCGCTATGATGCATATAACCTTGTTTTTAATCAAAAAGGAACAAAAGTGACAAATAGGCAGATACCATAGGCTTATTTGCACTGAAATGCTCTATGGCTTCATCATGACCCTGCAACTACCTCCTGTGGTTTCACAGGCAGTCATGGAATAAATAGTTCAAATAATAGGTAAAATCACTGAAAACTATTTTGCCTTTCACAGTTACTAAAAAAAGCCTTTGTTAGTACACTGAGAAGTGCTTAACTTCCACTGAGAGATACTGATGGTTTGCAACAGACTAGCAGTTCGATTTTGCGGGTGAAAATGTCTGTCATTCCTGCAGTCTAAGTTTCCTCAATCTCTACGACTAATTTAACTACTCTTAACAACAAATAACATGTTACCCTTTTCATAGAGATGAGGAGGAAAGGAAACCCTGTTTTATTCACTTAGATAAAGCACATGGTGTGATTTCAGTTTAGGTAGTTTCATTAGCTGAGAGACCACTGTAAAAAAGGAGACTGTGAAGTTGAGTGGGGTGATGAGGAACAGGAAGCTGACAAAAATCCATGCAGCAATGATCAGTTTGTATGGAGAAGCAAAGGGCGTGCAAGCTGAATTGCCTTGTTTTCAGGAAGTGATCTTACTATAAGTGAAGATGAGGCATAATATCTTGTTGTATGTCTTGCTGTGACTCTGTTTTTTAAGCTTCCTGATATATTTCCTCAGCAAAAACCCCAGCCTTCTCCCTCTGCATTCCCAACAAAAGACTGTGTAGCGCACTGCACTTCTTGAACACATTCACTGAACTCTTTCTCTCAATAGTTAAACTTTGCATGAGATTCACACTATTTCCAGCTTTTGTTTTTCAATAGGATTTGCTTTCACTTCATCTTCTTTGCAGATCTGGACATCTCTGGTTGGGCCAAAGGTTATAGTCCTAGTGACTTTGAGCTCTTGTGCCCGGATGGAACCCGTGCTGCAGTCACCGAGTGGGCAGGCTGTAACCTTGGACCCATTCCTCCCAGCACAGTCATGACTCGACCTGTCAGCATCACCAAAATCTATGACTTCCTAATGAAATCCCAGGTAAGGCAGGCTAAGGGATGTTATCATTTGTTATATACGGCTTCTGAAAACCTTTTTAAGATCAAAAGCTTTATGTACTAAATACATAAAGGGCCTTCGGGTCCAATATTAAAAAAATAAGCATGTGTTTCAGAGATTGAGAAAATAGGGAAATTTTGGCTGCTCTGAAGTGATGATACTTTTACTGAGAAATAAGACACAGATGCCAAACTGAAATAATCTTTATGTATAAATAAGGGCAGTGCCGGGTGAAAGTACCTTTTCTTCTGCAAGATCCTGCTACAACAGTGAGAGTTCACCAAGTTAACTTTGCTGCTTACATTCCAAGCTGTGAAACTTCTTCAATTTTCTTTTCTGTTTAGGAATCTGTGAGAACCAAGCTGGGCTCTGAATTCCATCTATTTCAGTCTCAGAAGTATGGTGAGAGCGATCTGCTTTTCAAAGATACTGCTCGGTACCTTGTTCATGCAAGTCACATGAGCTATAAGGAAATTCTTGGAGAGTCTTTCTTCCAGCTGGCAGAATCAGTGTTTAATTGTACACCTGCAGGTAAAGTTAAGTAAGTTCTTCGTTTTGAGATAGAGAAAAATGTCAAGCAGGGAGACTTCTGTGTGCAGCTTATTGGCCTTTTATTTGCATTGAATAAAGAAGTATGTTTTACATAATCCTGTTAGTAACTATTTTCCAAGCAGTACAGCGCTTAGAGTTCCTAAAGAGTCTCTTGCAATCTCTATCCATAAGCATAAATATGTGAGCGCCACAGGAACAGTGGCACATAGACACATGTCAAAGCAAATACTAATTAATTGAAGTAACATAAGTTATCTGACTATTTTATTTCCTCTCTGATTTTTTTTCCGTCAATTCTAAAGATCAATTCTGGCATAATAGAACAAAATGTTTATTTGGGTATGCCAAGCTTGGGGAAAAAGATGAGCAATTTTGTATTTAATTCTTGTAATATGTTATTTCAAGGTTAATTTCCTGTTTCAAAGGATTATAAAGAACTCAAAGCTTAAAAGATTGTTTGTTATTCTCCACTGAAAGCTGTATCAAGCATGCATTTACCTATCACTAGAACTGAAAACTGCCTGTGTAAAAAGAGCCAGGGTCAAGTTGTTCTGACACTTGAAAATCTATGTTGAAATAAATGATGATTTTAAAGCAAGTTAGGTATCCAAGGAATTCTGTCAGTCAGTATAGAGGTTGTTAAATGAAATTCAAATGGGGAATTTTACCTCTGTTCTGTTTTAGTGAATATTATCTGAGTAGTTTAAATAATATTTGAAGAGTTAGTCATTTATAAAGCTAACAGCAATATATCTTTTCTTACTGATTTGTAGGTATCTTAGACTTTTGCAGACAGGATATCTGTGCATCTTCACTGAACTGACAGCTACGTGGAAGCTTTGCAAGGCACATACACCCTTACTGATGCTGAAAACAAGGAAAGATGCAAGTCCAACCTATCCGGAGCAATCACCGAGGACACAGTCAGCTCTAGAAGTTCATGCTGAATACTCTTCATATATAGTATATATAGCTTTCACATTTATGGTCATATACTAAGGCTTTTGTCATCACTGTCTTATTTTGGAGGCCAGCATTGTAGGGAGTGGCATAGGCCAATCCACACAACTCATGGCAGGAACAGGGCCAGCAGTTTGGAACTGCTGCTGAGGTGATCTCAGCATTTCTGTGGGACAAGCAGGACCAGTGCCACGGACTAAAATATGGGCTATCAAGAGTTGCACAGGTTAGTAGGTAGCAATTTTCTTTGTTTCTCCTATTATGTCTTAAAAAAACCCGCTGTTTCCTCATAACAGCAATCAGCTGTCACTTTGGTTGTAGCATTGTCTTCTTATATAAGTGATTTTCATTGCAGTGAGAAAGTCCATGCTGAATATGCATACTATAGGTTGTGTATAACTGCTATCAGTAGCCTTTTCTGCTTTTAACAGCGAAGAATCTATTGCTTTAACCAAAATTTTATACTAGTAAGTTAATATGCTTTTCTTTAATGTATGAAAGCATCTAATAGCATCAACCATCAGAATTGGATTCTTACAACTTTAAGGTGAGGCAAGCAGTAAATATTCCATTCCTGTCAAACATCAGCTGTTACTTTGTAGGTTACTTCTGAGGTGTCACAATATGAATTATGAGTTAAGCTGAATATTTTCTTTATAGGCAGCAACTGTTTCAACACAATACAGTGTTCTTTTGAACAAAGTGTATCATGGATTTGTTTTGCCCAAACTTGAGGTTGGAAACATTATGGATGTAAATTAGAGTGGGTGCTACTCAGGGGCAGGGCTCATTTCAATTTTCAACCTTCTGCTCCTGTGTTTGCCTGAGCTCTACAAGATACACATGAATTGAAAAGCCCTTTACTCCAAATCCTCCAACCCTTGCTTCCTCTACTGCTGGTTTATTAACCTTAGCTAGTAATGAATAAGATGCAAGTCGTAAAGACAGCCCAGCAGCGCTACCCAAGAAGTAAATAGAAGTTGTAGGAGCCATGTTATCTGCCATAGAGGGCAAAAAAAAAAAAAAATAGTCTAAGTGTTTTAGGCAGCAGTAGTCAAGAGTAGTGGGTTGGAAATAACACTCCTGAAAGCAGGCATTTTAAAACAATTCCTTGTCTTTCCTATTATGTCAGTGTGACTTATACTGGCCCCCTCTTTATTCTCTGAGACAGAAAATGAGGATTTCATTCTGAGCAGCCGCAACGGTGTTGCCTTGAGCTCCCCCTGTGTCTTAGCTGAGACTGCTACCAGCTTTGTCCTAGCCCTGGGAATTGAGCAGAGAGCTCACAAACTCCCCCATCTTTTGTGAGAGAGAGATACGAGAAATAAAAGGCAAAGGTGATGAGTCCAAGCATGAGAATGGGCCAAACCCTTCAGCTGATGGCGCTGTATCCCAGAGCAGCCAGGGAAGAGCAGGGTACTAGGCCAGGCCTCTGAGGAGCTCCCTCCCTTTTCTGCTGGAGCTTCCACGCCACCTGTGGGAGCTCCGGAACAGCACAGAGCTCCCCGGGGAAAATGCTCAGGAGCGCAGGGCAAGGACCTTCATCTGCAAACTTCATTTTCCTCAGAGCTGCATGAAGCTGAACATGCTCTATGTTGAAACATAGATTATATATAACATTTTAGAGCGGGGATCGCTGTATACTATGGACAGTAGAGAAGTCCTGATGTTCCAGTTTTGGTTTAAAAGCAGCAGCTTGCTGCCATGCACTGCCTGTAGTACATGAATCACTGTCCCGCTGCGGCTGTGACTCTTGGTACTGAACTTAGCTCTGCTGTCTAGGTGCTCCTACCCTCGTGCCTTAAGGGATAAATGCTGTCTCAACACTATAGCAGCAGTTAGGATTGCGCTTCAGATCCCCCCACATCTATTTTCTTTTCCACAGATAACTCAAAGCTACATGGTTCACTAACAGCCCCCATCATTAATGGGGTCAATGGACTCTTCACAGATTTAACCCCTTAGTGCTCCCCTTTAGTGATCCAAAAATAATGTGTAGTTTCTGATACAGACCTAAAGAAACTTTAGGGGGAAAAAAAAAAACACTTTATCAGAAAAAATTTATTTCCATAAATTAAAAACACACACAAAAGAAACGGTGATATTTTAGATTCACACATTACTGAACAGAAACAAACTGCCAAGAGCATGATGGAGGCTAACGGCACAGGTGTACAAATTCCCACTGAGCTATTTGTTAACATGATAGCATCAAATAGACTTTTAATCCACGCAGTTATCCATGTTCTAGGAAAGAACCTGACATAATATACCAAAGGTCCAACTCAAATCAAATACAATAAATGAGAACAGCTTGCAGAAAATTGTACCAGCAAGCATCTGAACTCAAACATACACAGCCCCAAGAACAGCCAGGCAAACTCTGTAACGCACATTAAGTAGCCTTTGCTGCTCCAGTTGCAGCATGATGAAAGAAAGAGCTTTTTAAAAAAATGACCCCCTCCGCCTTCCACAATCAGCAAACTTATCCAAAAGCTGCCTGGCTCTGCAAAGCTCACTGATGAGAGATAATACAGAGCAAAAGCTTTGCAATTTTTCCTCAAGCTGTTCCAGTCATGGTTCTGTGAGCACTATGTACAATGTCTTTTTTTGCAAGATGGTGCAAAAGGATCCTCGCAGAAGTTGGGTCCTGCTGTGAAAAGGCAAGTTTATATGTCCTCTGCTAAGGAAGTCTGCAAGACCCCCAAAGATGCATCTTCTATACGTTTTGTCTGGGATGATCTGTGACAACAGCAGCTTGGTGGCAAGCACTTAGCTTTTGTACTGTCATCATTCCCAGTGTACAGGCTCCAGCCACAAATGGAACAAAGCTGTTCCACAAGTGCTGTGAATAAAAACAGAGGTGAGAGATGAAAAAGAGGAAGCAAACAAGCATGATAATATCTAGATGCTGGAGAGGTGGGGAGGAAAAATGAGATGCTTTGTCTCACTTAGCTTAAATCTCTATCATACAAATACTAAAACAAAACAGAAAAATGCTGTATATTTGGACTTGCACAACTCTAGAGTCTGGGACATGTTAGGCAATTACAGCATTTTCTGAATTTCTCCAATTAGCAAGTATTTTCATTGCTCTGCTCTCTCTGCTGTAGCTGTTGAGAGAGCCAAGAAGGGCTACCTCAGCAGCCAGAAATGGGTCAGAACAAAGGAGCCGACAAAAGAAACCCCAAAGCCAAGTTCCATCTTTGAAAGCGCATTAGCCGACTGAACTCTGCTTGGACCCCAGTTTCTTCCCTCCCCATCCAGGCCCTTATTTGGTTCAAAGCTACAGCAAGGTTACAGCTCAGTTCTGTCACAGCACTAGAAACTTCCCATAACAATAGAAAATGAATGAACACTGTGTTGCAATCCTATTTACAGCATAAAAACATGTATACATACCACGCTTGCTGCAGCTTCCAGATAGTCAATACCTGGGCTAACAAACAGGTATAGGGAATGTTTTAAATAAATATATATTTTAAAAGCAGTTGACCTCAAGGCCCTCAGGCAAGAAAATTATTTTTTATAAAAAGAAATCTCTGAAAAATGAAGAGGATCAAATGTTATAAAGCAGCCGAAATAGGTTAACCAGACCTGGCAGCTGATAGTGTGTCAGTATGTTCAAAGTTTGCCTGCCTTGTTATTTTATCTCCTCAAATACAAACAACACTACTGTATATCTGTACTTCCCTCTCTTCTTCCTGATTCAAGATAATTAACCTCCAGAACAAGAATGTAAGCTTCTAGGAATCCCAGCATATAAACTAGGTGAAAAAAATAATCCAGAATACATTTCTTTCAAGACTTAGGCACACATAGGGGTGTATTTTGCTTCTGTTTCCTTACTTTCAAAGCTCTGGAATTCAACAGATTGCTTGTTCATTTTGTGTTTTCTGTTAGATACAACAGAACTGGCAGAGCAACAGAAGATAATGATGGTATTTTCTGTCCTGCATTCATTGGGACTTAAGAATACCCACCCGCTAGATGTTTGGTTCACATGCTCATTTTGAAGGTAAAGAAATTCCACTATAGGGGCAGATATATAAGAAAGTGCAAATTTCAAGTGATGAGTGAAAGAAATAATGGAATATTTGAGCATCCCAGCAATGACAGCCATCCCATTAAGCTTTGCCTGAATAACTTCCATAGGCACTAAAGGACAAAAATTACCTGGACTGCAGCAAGTATTCATTTTTCATTATGCTTCAAGTAAGTTTTAACAGAAGTTATCCCAGAAGGGAGTACTCTTCCCTCAGAAAGGTATGGCCAAGAAATTGCCCAGTGCTGCAGCAGATAATGACAAATGGCCTTACATACTGAAAGAAATACTTTCTACATGCTAGGAGGCTTTTTGTACAACATCAGCTATTATATGCAATAATGCTATTCAGAGATCTAATTATGAGCTATATAAATTGTAAACCTAAAACAGTAAAAAAAAAACAACAAAAACATTTCCCCCATCCCAGTGGAACAAATGTATTTTGTTGTTGGCATTAAAATCAAATTGATATTTTTATTGGAATTAAAATTACTTAAAACGATTCTCAAAGTTTTTGCTGTTGTTCTCTGCAAGCAGCAACTCAGCTAAATAAAAACCTCTACTTAAGTGTCCTTTAGCTTAACATCCTTCTGGGCTACTTACCTTTGCCTCTGGAGAAGAGGTAAAAAGCACCAGCTAATTATGTGAAAATTCACTGTACTTTGGGGGAGAAATTAGCACTGGGCACCATTTTTTCTTAAAATACAATTTTTTTGGAGATGCATCACATTGAAAGGCGTCCTCATGCAGCAACCCAGGAAACACATACAAAGTGCAAGTTATTTAAAGTCCTAGTCATGTGGGGTTTCTGTTGCCTAAAGGCAGGAAGGGCACAGAAACTTAGAAGAAACCTTCTAAGTAAACATAAGGAAGAAACAATTGAAAGCAAAGTCAGACTGCTACTTTTAATAATTAAAAAGTTAGTGGTATATCAAGAGTTTGTTTACTAGAATTCATCCTTGTCAAACACCCTCTTCTCTTCTCTCAGATTGTTCAAGATAGTGACTCTAGTAACCACAGCAGACTCAAATGTGCAAATGTTCTGGAGTAAAAAGTCCTAGTATCACTGAAGGTGCAATACCCCCTCCTTTATACTTCTACTCTACCCTCAAGAGGTGTTAAACATAATTAAACATTAGCCATCATTTCCAGACGTTAAACAAGGAATGGTAAATCATGTGGGGCTGTGCTACACTCACATAGGGACTTCAGAGAATCCCTCTCCTAGCATTAAAAAAAAAAATAGCACCTTAAAGAGGTCCACAGCCAGTAACTGATCATCACATATTAAAAGTGAGCGGTAGAGTAAGGTATGAAGAAGCAGGTAAATTTCTTCCCAGTGGACTAAAACATGAAAGGAGCCGACTGAGCCGTTCCGAGCTGGTCACCTCTCAGCTGCTGGAGGCCGGCTCATGCTCAGCCTCGTTTGCAAAAAAGGCTTCAAGGTCCATGAGCTTCTTAATCAGAAGAGCATCTAGCTCTGCACCCTGTAGTGCAGCTTTTTTTGCTCGAGTGAAGCTACCCACTGCTTTGATTTTGCTTCGTGCCTTCCTCTTTCGGGGGACAGTGAAGTCCTGAAACTCCAGAATCCGTTTCCTCTTCTGCTGGCTGACAGAGATCAAGACTCCGTTTTTCACCTTGGGCTCTTCAAAGATTGTTTCCAGGCTCCTGGTAAAAGCAAAGGATAGGACTCAGGAAGCAGTTAACTACCATGCAAACTCAGGGAGATGGATGCACTTCATAAACCACGTAAACAGGCTTCCAACTTTTACTTTTCTACAGCCCTTCTCATACACACTTATCTGCAGCTTGCATTTCCAACACCTGCATTTTTATACTCCTAACTAGATAATTTCTTAGTAGTGCAGAGATATCTGGGTTGAATCTCTTTGTGTCTTTACTTCAGTTGCATATATTTAGCATAGAAAAAACACACGTGTTCTGAACTTTTCTTTTAAAAATATATGAAGTAAAATCAAGTAGCAATCTTGATACTCATGCAATGTATAGTTCATTGCAGTTACTTCGGTGATTTTTAGAATATTTAGTTGCCTTTGCATTTATAAAGTGCAGAATTAAAGCAAAAATATTTGGATGGACACTGAAGGAATGAGTAGGTGAAAAAAAAACACACAAACCTTAACTTATACAGTGGCAGAATTCTTAGTTCATACTCTCTTTCACTGCTTTCTATTCAAATACTAATTTCCTTGAACTAACCACTCTGAACTAGGAAAATTTTTCAAGTGTATCCCCCTCCTTAGATTCCGGATACTTTAGTCTCCTACCAGTGCTTAATTAATTTGCAAATATCTTCAGTTCTCATTAGTGAGCACAACCAACCTGGCCGGAGGAGGAGACTTATAGTTCTTGTTTGTGTATATTTCTTCTAAACTAAATTCTTTCTTCTTAAGCCTGAAAAAGTAATGAACAAAGCAGTCAAGAAATAATTTTAAAACAATCTTTCACAAACAAGCAGATTTACCAGACACAAATACAGTTTACTGTCTGTAAACACTAAGTAATTAAGCTTTAAATTAAAAGACTGATTTAGAGTCTAATTAGGGCTAGAATGGAATGAAAGATGTTTGAAAAGGTCTGAGTCAAGAGTTGCCATTTCCGCAGGGAATGCTCCTTCTAGCTTTCTATAATGTTTTAAATAACGATGCTCAAATGAACATTTATTTCTTGAGCCCCATTTTAATTGTCGGTTATTGATACTTTAAAATTATCAAGCTGATCTCTGAAGAAACGTATTGCTTTATCAAAACTGGCACTTCCATTCAGGAACTAAAGTGAAAAAAATACTGGATGACTGACTGCATTGAAAAAAGCAATCTGGCTTCATGACTGCCCACATTTATACTGTTCTTGTAAGATCATATTCCATAAGCAATTAGAGCCTGTGAAGAACTCCCAGCATCATTTACATCAGGAAAACTTCCTGACAGGTCACTTCACCTCTCTGTGCTGAGCAGGAATACTGAAATTTCAATGTACATTTCTTTACTTGAACTAAATAAGAATTACTCATTTTTTTCTAACCCTTTGAAAAATCATTCCATTGCAGCTTAGTGTTTCGTGTTTTGTGTAAAAACAAGTCGGTCATTCCAATGCTGTAGTCCTTTACTTATCCCTTCTCATTTGAAAGAAATTATATTCAAAGACTTATGTCCTTATCCAGATTTGTAGCAGGTAGGTCTCAATCCTTCCTTATAAAGGAAGCAAGCATGAGGCATTGCTCAACTGGGAGTGTACAAAATAGTGCAAATTAAAAGACACTGCTCACCTTTTTGGTCTGGGGAGTCCCATAGGAGTAAGGTTAGGGTCTGGCTTAGGAACAGTTTTCCGGATTCGGATCTGGGAGACTTTCTTTGGCCTCTTTTCTGGCTCAATCTTAAAAAAAAAAAAAAGAAAAAAAGTCACTTTAGTGAAAGAAGTAATAGAATTACCCTGCTAGCTAATAGAATTCCCTTCATCTAGAATATGGATCATCATGTGAAGAAGTTTTTCCTATTCCTCTGTTTTGCCATTTTTTCTCTCTGCTTCAAAAACAGAAAGGAGCAGCACAGACTAGGACTAGGAGCCTGTTCTCCCTCCTGGTCTTTAACACTAACTAGATACATTCCCTCAGCAGCAACTTCAGGTGCTTGTGGTAGAGAGATCTAAAAGCAGTAACAGCTGTTGTTCACAATATGGTAATTCTCCTGAACAGGTACTATGTCTGTTTCCAGCACAAAAACATAAAAAAGATAGCCAAAACCAAAAAAAATGAACTCACTTTTTTCAGGTCTGTGTCATCTTGGGATTTAAGACAGGCTGGAACAGAAGCATCAGCTTCATCAAAGGCAGGGACCTGGAGCTCCGACGCTGAAAGCCTGAGGGGAGATGACGATGATTCTGGAAGCGAGCAGGGCTTTGGTAATGGAAGAGGGAATGAAGGTCCCAGACTATAGCCGAAAGAAAAGGAAAAAAGAAAAAAAGTAGGTTGATAACTGATTTATGATTGATACCCGATTTATGCGGTGGTAGCATTTCATGCTGTCAGGCAGTGTTCCTAAATTGCAGCATGGGCACAAAAGCAATGCAGTTCAAAAAGCTGCCTAAATGAACCTTTCTATCTTTCTCCAGTACCTGCATACAGCCTAGAGTTGCTCCAGCCCTCACTGGTACTGATGCAAACTAAATTGCCAGTATATTTGAACTTCTATTTTAAAAACACATTTTTTCCCCTTTCCACAGAGTTAAAGTGTTTACAGCTCTTTATGGTAACTACTAAAGGAAGTGGTTAGTCCTCCTTTTTGATCAGCAAATTTCTTTTGCACAGCTGTTGAGTACTTTTTGTTCACAGATAAATTTTCAAGATAGCTTCTATATCTGCCATTCCAACAGTGGCAAAGGACAGAAGGAAGTATTAATGCTTGTATTAATGCTTAATGTCCAGCTACTCAAATGGAAATAATATATCCATAAACAAAATATCCATAAACAAAAATTGTACAGTTTCACAGATATTCATTTCATAGAAAGTGGCGCAACACAGTTGCAAAGTAACAGAATTCTTCTGCACAGTGATCTGGGTGGTTTTTTCTGTGAATCAACACTTATCCTTTCTGTTATCCAGTCTGTTTAATTCACCAAAACTTTTATCACAAAGCTGCTCTGGTAGTGAACTGCCAAAAACTGAGAGCAGAGTGACACAAAGGCCTAGAGACTCACCGTATCTCATGCGCTGCTGACTGTAGAGCTTCTGTCCTCTGAACAGGTAAGTGCGGTAAAATGGCATAGCTGGTTTAAAAAGGAAAATTAAACAAGCAAACAATGACAGAAGTTAGATTGACACCATAATAAAAGAGAGAAATTTCTTAGTACAAACTATATTCTAAGAGAAAGATGTTGATTTCAGGAATGGGAGGGAGAAGAAAGACTAAAACCCTACAAGATCAAGCCACTCTACTAGTAACTAAATTTCACTGACAGGTTGTTAAGGAAATACTCTTTATTTTCACTTTAAAGTGGTAATAATAAGAAATGAATATAGAAAGAGCGCGTGACTGTTAGTCTCAAAATTGAAATTATTTCTATGAAAGCCAAGATTCTTTATTCAAGAATCCCATTAAAAAAAAAAAAAGCATAACCAAAAACTTTAAAGGATTTGGCTACTAAACAGAAAACAGTGTGGTGGCAAAAATAACAAGCATAAGGAAGATTCCCACAGGATTAACTCAGTGTCATCTCTCAATCCTATACTCTTATTGGAATACTCTTAATTGATGGGAGTAACCATTTCCATAATGGCTGGTAAACACCATAACGCTGTGAAATAAAATGTAGCATGGCAGCTCTGGGTCCTTAAAGCTTAAGCTTTGCTTTTTTACCCATGCCATTAACAGCAAGAACAAATGGGTCAGTTGGGTCAAGTACTGAGCAGCCCATCTTGTACTTGCTACTTTCCTAAACTAACAGGTACAAATAGGTCACTCTTTGAAAGCAAAGAAGATACATTCAGATCAAAATGCTACAAAATAAATGAAAGCTAACCATGCTGACAGCACAGTGTATAAGAAGATCAAAACAACTGATTTCTTGCATTTGTCTTTTAGCATCAGAATTACAAAGTTTCTTTTCTCTCAGTGTTTCACTCCCTAGCCCAGAAATACTGGAATCTGCACTCGCTGTGTGATCAGAGTCCTCCTTGCTAAAGGCAGAGCTGTGTGCTTTATGCAGTAAGAAAAAATTACAGGAGAAGAAAATAAAACCACTTTAGAATTTTGAATAGGAAAAAAAGGCAGATTTCACTTAAAGAAGCCTTATTAATGGCAGTAGAAAGTACAGGATAAACTTTTTAGAGAGCAGTCTCCAGACTTAAGTTTAGGAGGAAATAACACCATAAAGCAGCTCCAGTCCAAGGGCAATCTGTCTCAACAATTAAAAATAATGCATTTACTTCATTCATAGAAGTTTTAAAAAGTAGGGAGTTTGTTTTATTTTCATGAATGGCAATAATATCTTAAACTTACTGCTCATCTTACTGATAGCTGAAGTCTACTAGTCTGATTGCTTCCAGAGCACTAATCTGTACACTTTCAAGTTTAGCTTGAAATACTGTCTCGCATAAAGCAGAAAAAAAAAAATGCAAGTCCAATAGAGCATCCTGCAAAGCCATTTGGACCTAGGGACCATTATTCAACTTCATTCTTTCACTGCAAAGAACTTGCAGAAAGGAGTATTTCTTTCATAAGCTCACTCAAACCTTTAGTGTACAATGGAATTTAAATTAGCAGGTTAATTACTTAAGCTGTTAGCTAAATTCTCCATTTCCACAAAGCAAAACATGGTGTTAATTATCTGGCATGTTTTCTAATTTTACATATATCAAGTTGGGACACAGATAAGCCAATTCAGCAATCCTCTAGAGATAACAATTATTGAAGAAAGGAGTTAATGAAGTGACCTTTTCTGCAGTGCTCATGAGCTTATACTCTGTTCAGGAATCTGAAGACTGCAAAGTTGGGCACTGAACAGTCCCATGTCTCAAATGCTGATAACAAAAATAACTTAAATGTGCAAAGTAGACTTCACTGCTCTTCGCACTGGTATTGAGAATAACAGACACCAAAGTCCATTACCAACCTGAATTGGAGCTACACTTTCTTGTGCCAACAAAACACCTGGCAGATGCCATCAAAGGACACGGCACGTATAAAGAGGTTACAGTTAGCACACACCAGCCACAGAACACAATTCAAAATTTAGTGATGCCCCCCAATGAGGATTCCTCCTAATTTGATACTGAGCATTTTACAGCAGTCCAAGTAGCAGTTGTGGCTGAGACCTCTGGAAAAAAAAAAAAAAAAAACCCACAACTTTCCTACCTCAGAAATCCAGTTGTTCTGCAGTCACTCTGAATAGACCTAAAGAAGTAGCTCACCTTTCTGCATTATATATTCTGATGCATGGTGTGTATATTTTGCAAGGGAGAAGAAAATACAGTTAGCCACTCTGCCAAAAGACGATAGTATTAAAGAAGCCAATGCAAGTCTGTTTAAATTCAACTAACAAACTCTTCCATAGGGAAGAATCTTCCATGGTGAGCCATCTTTGGAGCAGAGTGTGCAGATTTGGAACAGGGAAAACTGACCCTCCAAGTGCAAGCTGCAAACACCCTCTCCCTCCCAAAAAGGAGCAAGTATGTATCCTATAAATAAATATATATATATATTCATTTATTTATTTATTCTCAGAAAAAAGTTGATGGGTTTTACCTGTTCTCGATGCCCCCACTTGGCTGCCACTTGCACTGATGGGAATGGAGAGGAGTGATTTCGGAGGGACGGGCAGAAGGACCATGCTGACTCCATATGGATAGTGCCCTGCCCAGCGAGTACGGCAATGAAGAGAAGAGGTCATCTGCTACGGAAGTTGCAAACCTTACCCCTTTCAAACCCTGGGTGAACTGTGACATAAATAGTCTCTGGATGGTAGGAATACGACTGGTTAAGTTTCTTCTTCTTGTCCAAATCCTGTAACATCCAGGGGAAGAAAGTGCTAACACTGTCTGAAGGCCAAGCATAGAGTAACTTTTTCTTCGTGCAGCTATGGCATTTCTTCCATGGTCAGGATGAAGGGCAGCAGCCCCTGGAGTTGTTAAAGAACGAGAAGAAGGCAGCTCATTAGCCAGACTGCAATCTTCCTTGGAAGCTGTTGTACCTGAAGAGCTCTGAGACAGGAGAAAAGAGAAGGTCCATTCTGAAGATAGTTCTGGTGTTTCTCCCAAAACCCGTCTGTGATGTACAGAGCACTGGGATATAATCCCTGTGAGGTCTGTCACAGAACTAGAGTCCAATTTTATTTGAAAAGAAATGGGGAAAACTGGGGTATCCACGGGTGAGGATGGAGACCTGTGCCTCAAATCTAAAAAAGGTATTTTGGTAGATTTTACAGGATAAAGTGCCAGAGACTGAAAGCTGAACATCTTGGTGCACCAACTGTCAGCCCAGTGTGAGTGTAAGTTCCTGTTAATGCAAGAAAAAGCTTCCAAAAGATTTTTAGCTCTACGTTGGCTGTACCTCCCAGCCACTGGAAGAATTTCAGAAGAACATGGCAGGGACTTTAAGTTATGGATGCCTTTGGCAGGCGCCAGGAGTTTATTGGCCATTGCAGACAGCTTGCTTAACAGTGCTGGTTCTTTGGTACATTTTCTAGTATTCAAGTTGCTCAACAAGCTGCACCTTTTGGCCCTCTGCCTCGGCATACGCACCAACCTTGTGGCCATTTCCGTTTCCATTGTTGGTGGTTTATATGAAAGGTGCAAAGAATTGAGGAGCTTACAGAATGTTTCCGAGGGAGTCTTTGAAGCTGAACTTCTCATTTTGTTGCCTTTTCTTACACTTTTTGGTTGTTCTGATGTAGGAACTTTTTTGCATGCCCTTCTAGGCTGTATTTTTAATGGAGGAAGTCCTCTTAGTTTATTTGTAGCTCCAAAGGCACCATGGATTTCATCACATGCAGTTTCTGGGTGTAGATGGCAAGCATAATTCAAACTGTCAGAGGATGGTACTCCTTTAATGCAGGACTCTGAATTAAGGCTCAGGTTTTCTGTTTCTGAACCCTGACTCTTCAAAAGCTGTGAACTAATAACATCTGTGGTAATCTTTGGCCTTTTGACATCTTGTAAAGTGCTATGTAGTTTATTTCCACTGTTTATAACAGCAAAAATCTGCTTTGAAGGACTTTCAAACTTCATATCTCTTGATATCACCAACTCCTTTGAAGAGCTGCATAAAAGTTTCGAATTGGACAATGCACTTGGTTGTAGTGTGACTTTTGCTTGGTAACTTGACCTGTGTTCTTGTTGTGCCTTGTCTGGCAGATGCGCTTCCACCTCATCATATGTTTTCTTTCGTTTAAGTGCCTGACATTTTTTTATTTGATCAAGTTTCTCTGAACCTAAAGTTTCATTTTCTTTCCAAACTGAATGAGTTGGAATAGCGTCTTGGCCTTCTCTAATCTCCTTTGTATTATCTTTCCTCTGTGCATTTAAGTTGTAAGGCACACATACTTCCCTGCAAACTACATGCTTTTGGGATGATTCTTTGCAACTGTTTGACTGCATGCTCATACATGGAAAAAACGTGGGTGTTGCATCATACTGGATTTCGGGTGAAGATTTTGTGTCAAATAGATCTTCAGCTTGACAATCATACATCATTTCTGAAACCTGATTGATCCTTCTCTTGATTC